CATTCAAAAGCTCAATGACAATTTCTGTACAGCAACTGTGTTAGTTGTCAAAGGTTAGATACAAACCCTGGACCTAAATTAATTTTTGTTTTCTAGCTTAATCCACACCTTAATATCGAGTCTCTTCCGATGAAGGTTTTGGCTCGCATAATATATTATCTTTCTCCGCTGGAGCGTATTCGCATTGAAAGAATTAATAAAACTTTCTTAGAAGCAGCTGCTAAGGTAGCCCTTGAGATCTTTTTTGTTGTTAAAGAGTGTGTCTCAATTTTAGATTTGATACTCTGTTTTAGGCGTGGGCAATGGATTCGTCACTGTCATTTGCTAGTGATGTAGTCGTTTGCCGATTTTTTAATGCGAAGAACCCGATGCGTAATAATCACCTTCAGGTTATCTGATGCTGTTTTCATCAGTAAATTTACTTTTTGCCACTATGATTATCTTTATGTTTTTTAACACTGTCAAATGTTTAAAATTTATTTTGAGCTACTTTTTTTTTCTTTTTGCATTGAATATTCTCATTAAAATTATAGATGACTGGTGCTGTTACAGGCATTTCTCGCAAAATGTGGAATCCACCTTAAATCCCTTGATCTTTCTGGTATAAGACATCTTTTTAATGGAAAAGCTTTTTCAATAATTTCTTCGATGTGTCCACATTTGCGTGAGGTAAAAACTACTGATTTTCTAACCATCCGAAATTGTGCTTCCTAATATTTGGTTTTGTTAGATTGGGTCTTTTTTTGCAGATCAATATTTCTGGTTTAACTGCCGACTCAGTAAGTCTCAGAGCATTTAGCGACGCCTTGCCCCATCTTACCTCAGTAGTATATGCCGATATGATTAGCGTTGGGGATAAAGCCATGTGGAGTTTGTTTAGAGGCAATGGAGTCAACATGCAGAAAGTCGATCTTAGAGGTTGCAAACTTATTAAAGGCTGCTGTCTTAGGTCGTTCTCAACTCCCCTCGAAAATGTGTGCTTTTAACGGATAATTTTAATATTACATTTTTGGTAAATTATTAAAGTTCATAGAGAAGTCCTGGTGCTCTCTAATTTTTGTAGATATTGTTTCCTGTTCTTAAGTGAAGATCTCTAATTTGTTGATCTCATTTATTCCTCTTCTTCCGCAGGTTTTACTTGACGGCTGCTCCCGTTTGGACAATTTGTCCTTGGAAGACCTGTGTTTAAGGTCACCAAATTTGAAAGAGTTACGGCTTAGCAACTGCTTTCGTATTTCAGACGAAACTATAGGGTAAAAGCCTTCTAATGTTCAAATATTTTAAACTAAATGGAGCATACATTCTGATAATGTGGTAAAAAAGTGGGGCAACTGTTACTTTTTTAAAAATGTTATTGTTATGAAAACCTATTTTATTGTACAGTTCTTTTTGACCGCTGAAGTGATGATATTTGACACTTTTTAGTTTGATTACCCGCTGTATGTCCGATTTAGAGATATTTTCGCTTTGTGGAGATGGGTTTAAGATGATCACTCCATCGGGACTCTTAACTTTATCGAGGCTCAGGAATCTTTCTGAATTAATGTACGCTACACGAAAGGCTCTTCTTCATTTGCAGTGTATATACATTTATATAAAATAAGCTTAGTTTTCTGCTGTTAGGCTTCTGATTTTTGTCTATTGTTCAGGTTAGACTGTAACTCAGCGGTTTCAAATGAGTTACTTGAAGCTCTTTTTGTCAGTTCTTCTCGCTTACGGAAGCTAAGCATTGCGTATGCTGGTAGTGATATTGCTGTGACTGAAGACGCGTTATTGGGGATTGGAAA